AGGATAGTCTTTTTACAGCGAAGCTGTCAAGCTCACTATGAACGAAGTACTACCGACAAAACAAAAACGACCAGCTTCATCTGACTTGAATGCACCGCCTAGAAAGAGGGGACGTCCAAAAGGCGTAAGTGATTTTCGAGGCTTCTTCTCTGGGGAGTTGACTTCTCCTGGTTCAAATTTTACACTTCATTTCGGTTATCATAGTTAATCCATTTAGTGTGAAGAACAAACTCATTTTACTAGGTACTCTTTTTAGTATGAGCGCAGAAGGCAGGTGCACTTCACACAGGCATGGTCCATGGGTCCATGGATCAAACCCCGAATCGATGTCAGCCCAGGCCAACCGAAACTATTCCTTCCCTCTGGGTTGGTATCAGACTTGTATGGGAGTATAAAAGCATCGACTGACCAGGTCACAATTCATAATATGGGCCAAATACAACTTCTCAACGACATTACTATTGTGAATGAAGTCGAATGGAATGCGTGTGCATCCCAGAAAAACTATTGGAAACCCAGTGGGACCGAGCAAGTGGTAGTTGGACAAATGCCAAAGTATACAGTAGACATTTTTGCGAATGCACTATGCATGTGCACTGTTTTGGGTTGTTGTTAAACATGATCACACACCAAATTTAGAGCGTCAACAAGCCGAGAATGAATGGCGCTCAAGCTTCTCATTCTCTCGCTGGACCACATTCGGTGGGGGATCGAACCATTTATTGTTTTTAATATTCTTTGTGACTAAATTATTCCTTTCCAGCGAGGCGTCATACGAAATGGCGTGAAAACAGAAATAACTTCAAGAAGCATCGGAACGCAGTCATGCCTGGATCTGTCTGATCGGAATCATTCGGGATCGTCAACCTTGCAGACACACTCGACCATGGATATTAACAAGCCCACAAAAGAATTCAAAGAAGTCGCATCTATTCAGAAGATTGAAGCCTCACCTCAAGATGAAGTCGATGATATGGCGTCCTCTGAAGTGACAAAGGTCAAACCGGCCGTAGCAGGTAGAGACAGGCCTGAAGACTCCTCAACAGCGGTTGCTTCACCCAGCAATATCAACGAAGCTCAGCCTTCATCCAATATAATGCCAACACTTTCGGAAAATTCGTACTCGGATGGTGACATGACACCTCCTTTGTCCATCGTCGAGGACTATATTGAGCAACAGAAGTCTCCTCCTAGGGCGACAGAGCCGGAGCCTCAGTCTGCTGCACCACCCACTCCACAGATAGAGGCTGCAGTAAAGAAGAAACCTCAGCCTAAGAAGAAACAGAAAGACCACGACTTCAAGATACTCTCGCTTACCAAGGAGGTGGGTACAGGCTTTTCTTCTTGAAGATCGACTTGTCTACGATCCCATCGACTATCGATAGAGCTACTGTACCTTTTCTCGGGCTACGTCAGTCAGCAGTATTGTGAATGCGTGAAACTTCACAAAAATATACTAACACTCTTAAAGTAGAGCGTGAGTTATATGTCATAGACGATGTGACTTGAAGTCAGCCCAAAGCCGACCAAAATGAGATACTGAAGATAGTAGTTGAAAAACGTGTGACTCTAACGCGCTAGTCAGAATTTATTGAGATACTCTACGATGGGATGAAGTTTTAGGAAGGTAGGGATGGGTCTTATTGTTAGCAAAGTTGAACAATGTTAGACGAGGGATGCTTGAGCCGTTCTTATTACTTGCCCTTCCAGCTCAACTCGCTGATATCGTCGTGTGGAGATCAGGAGAAGCTCAAAATAGCTTGTAGCCTACAGCGGTGAGTCAGCTATCATCAAGGGTCCTATAGTCCAATTAATATAAATAAACAATATTTCAGAATAATAAGTGAACAACGAGACGTCCAGCAAGTAATGGAAACGGTCAATCGAATACAGGCGCAGTTGCGTGGGCGGTCCGACAAGGACGAGATGACCGCTGTCCTGAATGAATACACGAAGAAATGTGACGAAAAGTTGAATGCGTCAAACAACACACTACTCAGCGTACAGGCTGAACTGTCTCGGGTTGGCGACCAGTGCAGTTCTTTACGCCAGGCGTCATTGAAGCATACAAATGAGATCGAAGCTGTACGCACTACGTTGAAAACCTCATGCGATTCCCTACGGCAAATCGTCGACGAATTATCAACAAAAATGGAGGTCCGTCAATTTCCTAGTAAATAATTTCCTCCATACAAAGATAAATCACGGCTTTGTGAATACGCTCATCTGACGCGTGCGGTCGCGGCGCGGCAAATAAGTCGATAGCTATGGCGCACATTATATGCTTGTTATGGCCAAAGTGAGTAGGGGTGGCAGCATCTTGAGTTTTGAACAATTCTTCATAGATTATTACCGAAAGTTAAGCCGTTAGCTGAGGAAGTCAGACCAAGAAGTAATTGAAATCACGCCAAATGCATTCTTTACGAACATTTGTAGTTTGAGGTAAGTGGCTATTATGGCAAATTTCAGGCTCTCACGCGAGAACGAGAGAACCAGCGAACAAATCTACCTGACCAACTATCACCTAGGAATCTTCATAACTTCCCAGGATTTTTTGTGAGTTCTAGGAAATTTAAAGAGCTCTTTTCGGTGAGAGGGGGACAAAGCAGTATAGGCCTCAAAGGCGCTTGCAAACCTCCAATTAAATCTTAGATTTGTAAAGTTATGAGGTATGTTGTCACAGAATTTTATTTTGTCATATTTGCATTGAACAAAATGGATGAGCACCTCTTAGTGTATGTATTCAGTGTTTGTTGGCTTTAGAGGGCAAGTTATTGGCGATGCATAATGAACGTAAGCGCAGTCTGGGTACCGGACTATGTGAGGGGTGAGGTACATTCAGGAACGTGAGGCACTAAATGGACATCCTAGGTTTCCCTTGTAAATGAATAGCTTGAAGATGTACTTAAGATTTCATCATTAGGACGTTTGTACGCGATGAACCCATCGCAACCGCTCTTCCTCATGTTACCAACATCACCTCGGGTCTGATTTTGGTATGGGGATGTTTTCACGATAGCAGGAGCAAATTCATCGAAGATTAAAAAAATTACAGCTTTCATTTATAAACTATTTATAGCCACCTCCTCCACCACCACCGCCACCACTGCAGCAGCCGAAAATGAACAAGGAATGCGAGAACAGGCAGCAAGACGGCTCCTCAGCCGAATCCCCTGGTGCTGCCAATCGACAACAGAGCTCGTCGTTGAATCGGAGAGGCGATGGATCAGCTGGCTCGGTAGCATCCGATTTGAGTCGAGGTATAAAAACTATTGCAGTAACTTAAAGAATGGGAGAGAGTGATCGCCAGGGGGTCGTGGCCGCGATGGTAATATCTCACCATTCCGATGTGAAATAAGTGGTGAAAGGACCAAACAAAGAGTGCCGGGCATAAGGAAGACATTGAAAAAACCGCGTATCCAAGAGAGAGCTCAGACAGCTAGACGTTGGCTAGTTGATTAGTTCAGTTTGGACGAATTTCAAGCATTTATTAGGAGCTTGGGAACTGCTCCCTGACTTTCCCTATGATCAAATGTGACACACACTGACACGACTAGCCTACAAAAATCGGTGAGTAGCACAGTTCGATTATATAGTGCTTTATTTTAGCTATGGTAAACCAACCGCCACTGTTCCCGATACCGACGCCATTCTACGGGCCCTTTCTGCCACCACCACAAAAGATGATGTACGACTATCATCTTCACATGCATCATCTACATCAACAGATGCAACATTCGCTGACGGCTCCATTGCCCCCGTTTCTACCTATGATGGACGGGAATCCACTGGGAGCACAGTTCCCTGTACCTGCACCTGCTCCTGTACCAGCTCCAGTTTCTGCTCCTATATCACCAGCTGCGAATAATCAACGTAATCAACGAATGGAGGGATTACATTCACAGGTGAGACCGTGCTGATTTACACCTCTAGCCAACATTTGCCATCGAATTACTCTGTTTGAGTGCTTTCATTGTTAAACGTCAAGCGTCATTAACGCAACAACGTCGGCGCTGACTATGAAAGCACCCAATGGCGTCAGTAAAGCAATCTTGTTCCTTCATACTGCTGTCCATATGCCAGTGTTGCCCAGCAGAACCACATCTCTCGGAATGACCACTACGGCACCTCCCGATCCAGGCGAATCATTCAAAAATGAGAATAAACATTTTCAGAGATACCAGTGCCGTAGTGGTGACAGTGGCGAATTCTCGAACAAGTCCAGGAGGCGACCAGAGGCAAATTGAATCGCAGAGCTACTCAGCCTTATTCATGTCCTTAGATTATGACGAAACCGTCCAGCACGACTTACTCAACAAAACTGTTTCAATTCGAGTTATTCAAAGTAATACTAAAATTTTCTATCAAATAGGGCAATGTCGACTGCCTTTCAGTAAAAGAAAGGGTCATCTGCAGAAGCATGTGCTTCTGATAGATGAACATGTAGGATCAATCATTACGCATCTCATCGATTGGTAGCACGTCTTTGTAGATGACCTACTTCTCGTTGTATCATATCGTCTTTTAGTTGATGGTGGTGCGCGAACACACGTACGAAAAGGGGCGTGTTGTTTAGTGGGAGGCGGGCTTCTTGCAAAAGAAATTCGACAAAGTCTACTACTTCTACAAGATTATTGAAAAAGCTGAAAAATATCACCATAGTATGGATGTAGAAGCCTGTCCATCTCCAACTTGACCACATCAGCCTCATCTCACCCGAGATCTCCTTTTTCGTATTTAAAATCTAAAAGCACACCACTGATTGTGCCACGATGTTGCCATAAAGTTCTCTCTTCAGTACCTTTGTTTTCGATAGCTTTGTTTATTATTTTCCAATAAAATGTTAATAAACTTGAGGCGAACTAATTAACTTCGAATACCCCTGATGTACTCAGATGAAAGCTATTCTGCTGAGTCAACTCTACATTTTTTGATGGCTTTTTTTCTCATCGGCGCTCCATGTGGTACAGTATCATTGTGTGCATAAGTTGCTTCGCAAAAACGGTAAGAATTAGCTTGAAAAGATTCTCGGCCGACGCCGCATGAAAGGTACTTGTGGATAGATCGCTAAACCACTTGTCTTATGGAGAGGTTTGTCCGGTATGATAGGGCTGTTTGACTTTTGGAAAGAATCTCGAGGCCCAAGCATTCGTACCAGCTGAGCAGCAATCCTCGTCAAGTAGAGTATGCGGTTCGATCATGTGCGCATTAAAAATGTAGCACCTCTTTCTTTCAAACACCCACATTTTATGAAATAAAAAGACCTGAAATAACGCTTACTCTCAAATTACTTATTTCAAATGAATGATCATTGCAAACACGAGAAACTATGTTAAACTTTTGCAAATTGTCCGAGAGTGATTTTCTGAGGCTGTTGCTAGAGTTCCGATTTTATTAAAACTGAATTGCAGTCTATGACTTCAAGATAATTACACAACACTACCCCGTGATAAACGAGTAGTTTACTACAACAGTTAAAGGCACAGGTCAGGAAAAGGTGGTTCCGGAGATTTGCATATAGTTTGAATTCGAAGCCCCCTCTGATACCATTTGTGCAGGAATGAGGTCGAAAATCGTTAGAATAGGGCACAATTAGGGCAGGAACATTGGGGGACGTCAGGGCTCCGCCCCTCGCTAGGCTGACTACGCGTTCGAATTTTCCTTCACCACTTTCGCATTGGAGCGAAGTTGGTGGAAAATCGATACGCTAATTGGCAAATTGCCAGGAATGGTCAGCTGGTCGACCGCCTCCTGGTACTAATATTCGGCTGCATTTCAACTGATTGGCTTCAACTGAGCATAAATCTTCAGTTGAAAGTCAAAGAGTGTTCTTGACATTGTACAAGAACACATAAATGACCCCAAATGAAGAAAATGCGTTGCAAATAAAAAAANTTTAATCGTAAAATTATAAATATAAGGGAATTCACTCACCTTTCTGTGCAGAACAACTGAATAAACATAAAAGTTCAGCGAAATATCAGTTGGGGAATAAATAGTTTCAAGAATCTAGTCTAGCTTGTTTTCCTTTTTTTCACTGTTTTTAGCCTTTTATGCTTTACCATTGTACTAGTGTAGGCCTTACCTACCACTATCTTTAAAATACCGGATACCCCCAAAATTGTCCTGAACTGTGCCTTTAATACACAAAGGTGCAATTATTGGTTTGGGCGTCCGATTATTGGTATCCTTCGCAGCTACGTACAATATCAAATACAGTACGCTTATAAGGGAAGGCATGCGTCATTTTTCAAAAAACGTCTATTGCAAAGTTATGCGACTCGTGGATCATGTGATCTAGCCTGTCAGTTTTTATTTGAGTTCTGGTTTTCATGAGCAGATGTTTCGCATACGTTAATATTGTGTTTAATACTATATCTCACTCAGATAGCTTGTAAGACCGAAAAGTAAACTTTTTTTGTAAAACCAAAAAGTAAATCCCAAGGACAAATCGACGGGTTCTCAGTGGGATTTGCTTCATTTGCTGCTCTTTACAATACTGCCCAGTGATGCTTTTCAGGATTCGTAGATCACGATTATTGAAGAGCTGCTCATTGTGGAGTTGCTTATACTATTGAGAAAAATAACTGCACATACTTACCCTAACCTTGTTCGTCAAAGCTATAGCATGCCATGTTCTGGTCGGCAGTCCTTTTAGTTGTAAATAGGTTCTGGTGTCCATTAAAAATAACTGAATCGTTAGAGGGATATTGATGTAAAGAAATCTTTGAGAAAAGTCACTAAAATCTTGATGCTCCGTGTATGAATTAAGAAATGGTAGATATAGAAAAATTATATTCCTGTACCGACTCTTGTGAGAACCGTGACTCGAGTTTTTATGTTTCTCAATCATTTTTTGAAACGAACGTTGAATTTAGTCAATACATTGATTTCTTTAGTTCCTACTGACGTAAGTTGATATTCTTAATCCTATTCAATTATAGGAGTGATTTGACCTAGCATGGTTTGGGTGAAACCGGAGTTTCTGCACATTGGCCAGCCGTTTTGGTGAGTTCATGAGACGCTGAGTCCGGGTGAACTGCTATTCGAAGTGTCTGTTCCACAGGTCCACCGAACTCGAATGTGAGTACTTCGCCATTCAACGAAGGAAAGGACATGGTACGAGAGGATTTTCGTCTGTTGTGGTTGCTACGATCGACTCAGTTTTCGATACTCGGCCACCTCCGTTTCGAATTATCTACAAATACGAGAATGATGAGATTCAAGTGGCAATTGGTAAGACAATCACTCGGTTTTCTACGATTGAGAACAAAACTGTGTTAAAGTC